TTTTTTTTGTCACATCTTGAAGAACGCCGCCCACCACCCCATAGCCACAGGCGCGTGCCGCCCGAACCGGGGTCGCGTTCAATTTTTTCGCGCCGCGTGGCACGTGGCCCGTTTGAACCTGATTGAACGCGGCCCCCACGTGTTTGAACGAGAACGCGCGTTCAGCGTTTTCAAACGGTTACATAGGCACAAATAGTTATATATAACTTGGATACTTAAACAGTTCGGGGCGACTGTGCTGACTAACGTAGCCATATGCCGAAGGAAAATAAAAGTAGTCGTGCCTTTTGTTTGTGTATACTCAATGGCTGAGCTAGACACTGTTCCATAAGTTTGGGTGGACTAACTTTACGCCTTAAGTAAGTTGGGTATAAGGGACAAATCATTTGAAAGATTAAGTACTATTGTTTGACAAGGTTAACTTTGGGCTGGTAAGAGTACTTACCATTGTGGTTTGACCTTGCATGTGGTAAAGTGAGATCACTACTTAGTCTTAAGTTTCAGTTTAATAGGTAGTTGCTTTAGATGCTCGTCATGTGCTACGGCCATAGTAGTTATTTTCAATTCCTGTATTTTTTAAGTTAAGTTTATTTTACTTGGGTCAATTTCTGCATTTTCTGGGATCATTTATTATACTTGGTCTTGTATAAATCTTGGTAAGCTACTCTCTCTACGGGAAGCACTGCCGAAATTTCTACAAAACCAAGGAGTTAGTCATATTTTGACTTTTCAAAGTTAAACTTGTTTAAATTTTATGCATGGCTTAGTAAAAATATGGAAAGTCTCATTTTCTAAAAGGAGTGCTGCCCAATTGTTTTGCTAATTCAGGGAGTTAGACAAAATTGGAATATCGGAAGTCAATTTTATTTTTAGATTTTTGACTTCGCTTTGTATAAATTTTGGAAAGGTACTTTCTCTACAGGAAGCGCTGCCAAAATTTCTACATATCTAAGGAGTTGGTTAAATTTTGTCTAAATAGAACTCAAGTCTTATGTTTGAGTTCATATATGACTGAGTATAAATTTGGGAAGTCTACCTTTCTAAAGGAGATGCTGCCAAAATTTTCACTAATTAAGGGACAAAATTTGACTTTGAGAAGTCAAAGTTATTTTAATTTTTTATATTCAGGTTAGTATAAATTATGAGAAGACACTTTTCCTACAGGAAGCGCTGCCAAAATTTTCTTAGTTTAAAAGAGTTAGATTATATTATGACAGGTGACGACTTTTGACAATCCACTCTGCATGTGGAAGATTCTGTCCTAGGACTACCCTTTCTTGTGCACTTGCTTAGAGATAGATTTAGACTTACTTATTAGGAGAATCTTGAGTGAGAGTGTGCTATGGAGATTCGTTCCTCATACACTGGTAGTCAAGCATTGGGAATTGGCCTATCTTGTCTTACAGGTCCTACGTTTGATTGATTCAATTCATGATTAGTTTCAGCTTGATCCCAAGAGGGCCATCTTCTGTTATCACTGATAACATGTTAGTTGGTTGATCGTCGGCTTGTCGGCTCACGACACAACTTTGCTCATACCTGTACCTCACCTTGATGCCTTAGCCATGAGATTTGATATGCTTCTTTGAAGGTTTTAACCAGACTTATTTTAATGACCATTATACAAAACTTATGAGATTTTATGGAAAGTTGGGCTATGAATGAGGCTTAAGTGTGTAAGGCGAGGTGTGAGTTACAGAGAACACTAAATTTGACCACATTGGTGTATGGCAATGTGACATTCGTTTCTGTTTGTGTTTTACACATGTTAGTGTTTTGGAGCATGTGTACGAGTCTTGCTTTGGAGGCAGTGAGGACGACAACCATGCGTCACACGATCTGTATACCTGATGGGTTTATGCTTCCCTTTTCTTTATTTTTATCTCGAGTTTTGATTTGATATATTGGTATCGGGATGATTGATTATTGTTCTGATTAATTTTGCTTGTTAATTTTTATAGCTGGACGTTGAAGTCCGTGGCAGCCGTCAAAGTCAAACCCTTTCACTTATTCTCCAGACCCTGGATGATGGAACTGGTCTCCAGGGTGATAAGAGACGATTGCCACCACAGGTATGAGCCTGTGTACCACCCACTCTCCGCAGGGTGCAGAAGAGGGTGTGGCGATAAACCGCCTTAGCGATTGTCTAGCGTCGAGAGATTAACCCTTTAAGGTGCGTGTCAGTTGACACTTAAGTGTCGAACGTGACCCTCGAGATTATCGAGGACCGCGTGGTTATAGGCACTACATAGTACGCCACCATTGCGACCGCCTGCGTAAGCATGCATTGCTAGTCGATATGGGAAGATCTTGCGTCCGCGCGGTTTTATACTAAGTCTCGCATGCGTTTCCTATCCGATTTTCCACGTCGGAAGGTTATGGGACGGCTAAAAAAGGGACTACGAGTGTTGTTGTGTTGTTTGTTTTGTGTCGTTCCGTGTCTCTGAGTGTTGTGGTGTAATGCGTGGTATGTGGGATGCGTCCTAGTCGACCGACGACGAATTGCGCTTGGGACTTCAAGCCCCCAGTGCGTCGGTTCGCTTGCTGGTTCGATAGAGGTGTAAGACCGCGCGTACCT